ATATGCTTCAAGATCTGGCAAACTTATGCCGTCACTTGCAAAATGAACCAAATTAAGATTTCACAATATCACTGAACGATAATTATGTATAGATGTAAAACAAGACTGTAAAAATTTCAAAAGGAAAATCATTTGTCACTTGAAATGTAGTAGAATATTAAATAATAAATTATAGTGACCATTGCTTTGTCAAGTGCTGTCACCTGAAAAGTACAGTAACCTCAAAGATCTAACATATTAACTCAGCTGTACAACAGGCCAAATTACTGAATTATGGACATACTAAGGTCACATCAACGACTTATATTGGTGTAAAAGAAATGTTTGCCTGCACAGCTCAAGATCTGGCTACTTAAGATTATTCCATTAATGAAGACGATGCGCAACAAAGAGTACAGTTATTTCTGCAGTATAACAAAAAGGAATCAATCAATGGCATATCTGTGCATGCATCTTAAATTTTAAGATTTATCTTTGAGGTTTTAAGCTTACGCAAAGTTATTAGAAAACCAAAGTAAGTAAACGAACCACGATATCAAGAAGAACATACCTTTCTGCAATCCAGCTGAGTTGATGATTTGAAAACAGGCTTTATGAAAGAATATCGCAACTGATCACAGTCTCTCGAAAATAACAAAGGTATAAATCGTAATAGAACAGCTGAATAGAAAGACAGGCTTTCTATTATCCGAAAATAACAAAACTACTCGTTTTGCAACGCTGTATTGCTTGAGAAGTCTGCGTGAATTTGAACTGTTCAACGAAAGTTTATTTTACACCATTCTATTGGTTCAAAAGCCGCACGTGACAATGTAAATCAAATCGCGCATGTGCCAAAGTCACGTGGAAGCCTGGGAAACAACAAACATGGCGGCTGATCTTGCGATCGAGTGCATTCAGGACTACATTCACCCGGACAATGAAACTCTGCAATCTACTATTGAAATGACTCCTGGGTTCAAACCTTTCACATAATGTGCATTTTGTTCACCCAAATTGTAAATGGTAACGTTTTACGTCAGGGCCTCCTATTCCGAGACTTCTTGTGATATTTTTTTTCCGAGCCACCGACCCAATATCAGGAAACGCATTCGACGCTAAACGAAAAAAAAGGGGGATGGCCTTACCCGAAATAACCAGCTGCAGCAAGTAATATGATAAACTCTGAGAAGAATGTGATGGTGATTGAAACGGGGCAATGGAAAATCAAAACTTGCGTGAAATAACACTGTGAAGTTTGGTAAATGTGCAAACGTTGGTTAAAGTGGTCGTAAAGATAGTTCTTTGATCATATTTTGCTGAAATTTACGCCTCTAGTAACCATAAATTTACACATTAACTTTGCTGTGCCTGAAAATATCAAGCAAACATTCATTTTTGACGTTCGATTTTTACACAGAGAACAAAATGTCGGCAAATTTGAATCTAAACACCAAATTTACTATGGGGAGCAAAAGTGAAACAAAATATCTGTAAACTTGATATTTACTCCACATTTACGCCACCCTTGCAGAAAAGTAAACTTTCACTTTCGAACAATATTTGCACCAAGAACAAATAAGTAGCAACATTAGTACCCTAAATTTACAATAGATTTGCTCAACTAGCAAACTTAGGCAAATCCGTTTTTTCGTCCAGTGTTAAGAAGTCGTGAAGCTCAGTTATGCGGTTTATCTGTTCTTTTAATCGAGTAGTAAACCGCCAAAACATTCCACTTTTCCTTTAAGTGCTTGAGTGAGGTGATAGCGTCGTCGGAAATCTAGCAGGTTCCCAGGCCGCTGAAATTTGATTTTCTTGAAGAAGCAAATTATGGTCCAAATGATGTTTGGCGATCGATCGACTCGGGTGATTTAAGGAATAGGTCTCTAGAAATTTGTGGGGGGGTGGTCTAGTTTAAAGGAGATTTAACTTTTCGACTTGAAACTTTGCATGCGGTAAATACTTTTTAAAAATGTTCATACCCGTTGTCACTAATAAGCTGTCTTAGTCACACGACTTGTCACACCCATTTTTTGCCATTTAGTTGGGTCCAATTTTACAACATTTTACAGATACTAGTTGTGATTTATTTTGGTTTTTTTCAATGACTATTAACACAAGGTTTATGGAATTAATCGGGGTTTTTCGAAATTATTTGTTTTGAGTGAACTATAACGTTTCCAGTTAAGAGTGGGACTGGGTCGAAGAGAAAGCATTTGATAATTACATAGGAATAAAATATTTTGCAATTCCACGTTTAATTTGACTCATTTGACTTTAAACTTAACACCATGGAAAAATAAACGAAAGCTTCAACAGTCATTCTCATGGCGTAATCTGAAAATATTTAATTTTGCATAATTATAGGCGTGGCTGTTCACGTGACCTTAAGTGGCACAGTGTGAGCTTCAAAAATGGTTCCAATCTTAAGCATATGTGTTTAAATAATGAAATGAAAAGAGATGGCAGACAAAAAAAGAAAAAATGAAAGAAGCCCGAAATACTAGAGCGAGCGAGGAGCCATGCCTTAGTTGTGTCTGTTAATGATTTTAGCTTCTGGAGCCATTTCGAGGCCGTTTCGGAGATTTACCTATTCTCCTGCTGATCAATAATAATAATAATAATAATAATAATAATAATAATAATTGTAATTATAATAATAATAATAATTATTATTATTATGTCTTTTTTTTTTCTATACAATACATATCAAATGGTACACAAATTTTAAAAAGGATTAAGAAACGGTCCAGATAAGAACGATAGCAACAACGGCAACGAACTTGTTGGAATGCAAAAAATGTGCTAACTTTTCTATTGTCTGTACTTACTTCTGATTGGCTTAAACAGCAAAAGATAACAAAACTTCATAAAGCAGTAAATATATTCATCCTTACTTTCCAAACATCTTCCATATAACAAAATCTGGTCTCAGTTTGAATAACAAAGAAATCCTATGTGGGGAACATGTAAAATTGTAAACGTTTCTTGGCTATTGTTTTCAACTCTTGTGATTAGTCAATATCTTTTAACACAAAAAAACACCCTTTCAAAGTGGAGTGTAAATGCATTTTATTGCGTAAACGGCCTTCATGTAGGTTTATACATTCTCTGTGTAAAAATGAGAACATTCCTATGTGTGGAAAGCACCGTTGCCGCATAACAAAAGAAACTGCTATCCACCTTACCCGGATCATTACTTCGTTAAGGAGCTTACAGTAAGAATTTCTCATAGTGTTCAATTGAATTTGAAACTAAGCCTATTTAAAAAGCTACTTTTAAAACGTTCAGTGTTTATCCTAGGTAACTGACTAGATTTTTTTTAATCTAAGGACCCTTTGGCTTGGGGCAACATAGGGTACAATGGGTGAGAACTGTCGCTTCTAATTTCCTTGAAGAGTTTCGTATCACATTTGTACAAGAGCTAGCTAAGAGCTCGTGGATATTATAAATTTTTGAGGAGTAGCGCCTCTTGAAACATCTTTTCAGGAAGCATTGTACTGTATTTAAATCCGCTTGGCATGTGCCATAAATAAAAGAAGAGCATACACTCTTCTTGGAAGAACGAGCCTTTAAAAGATGATCGATTTCGTCTTGGCTGTAACCCTATTTCCTAAGTTCTCTTATTATGTAAACAAGCTTGAACACATTCGTTCGCTTCATTTAGTTACGTTTAACAAATGCTTAGCAAATATATCAATTTAAATCCTAAACCAACCATCTGTTTTACTCTCAATTTGGCCCTGTTTTCGAAGCACGGTATGTTTACTGCATTTCTTTGCTTTTTAATATAATTGTTGTTGTACTCAGTCTCAGCCCGCTTGTTAAACCCACTTGTGTTCCGCAGTCCGCAGTCCAAGTTTATATTTGTCAAAAATATATTCTTTATGTCTGTTAAACCCACTTTAAGATAATGCATTACACTGCTGGTTCGCCATTTGGCTCCCACTGAACCTTAACATCCAAATGAAAACTTGTTGCTAAGACCCTAAGTTCAGGAAATGACAATATCCTGGTCTCATTTCGCTTTTCTACACGTAAGCAATAAAAACGAAACTTTAATGTACTTGATATTAAACTTACTATTACATGAAAGAAGATCATCGCAGTTATAGACGAAACCCTGCAAAAATTCAGGCTTGTACGGGATTCGAACGCTTGACCTCTGCGATACCGGTGCAGCGCTCTACTAATTGAGTTAACAAGACAATTGGGAGCAGGTCGTTGAATCGGTTGGTATTAAACCCGTTGAAGGATGATAATGATGATCATCATATTCCTTTCAAGGTTTAATACCAACCAATTCACCAGGTTTAATACCAACCAATTCAACGAGCTGCTCTTAATTGATTGAGATTGATTTGAACACCCCTGCTCCACAACTATCTACATTTCAAGTGTTTCTTGCCTTAGCGCGAATAAAGCGTACTGCCACCGGACCTGATGGGATTCCTTTCTGGATATGGAAAGATTATGCTGAGATATTTACCCCAGTGATTGAGAATTTATGGAACTTATCTCTTGCTCGGCAGATCTGGCCAAGTCGTTGGAAGGAGGCTAACATCAATCCACTCCCCAAAGTCGAGACACCAGTCGATTATGCGGACTTTAGAGGAATCAACGTTACTCCAGTTATTGCCAGAACGTTTGAAAGAATAGTGTATAACATTTTTAACAAGAGGTGCCTGGAGGAATATCTGAATAATTCTCAATTTGCTTACCGCTCAGGTGGAAGTTGTGTAAACGCTCTGTTGAAAATGCAACATACATTTCTTGCGGCACTGGATAAACGGGACACCGTGGCGGTGAGAATGTTTACGATGGATTTCTCTAAAGCCTTTGATAACGTTAAACACAATCTTCTAGTTGAAAAGCTGAAACATAGTCCACTTGATTCATTCATTGTTAACTGGTATGCCAACTTTCTCGAAGGTAGAAAACAAAGGGTGATTTTTAATAATTTGACATGCCAGTGGAAAATTGTTAACAAGGGAACAACACAGGGAAGTGTCAGTGGCCCATATCTTTTCAACATATTTTTGAATGACCTAGAGATAGATGGATACAAAGATATATCCTTGTTTAAATATGCAGACGATTCAACCGTCTTAGTCACGATTACTAAAGATTCCCCGGATATATCTGATATTGCCTTGTCCAAGTTTATGGATTGGACTGTTGCAAATGACATGCATTGTAACACTAGTAAATGTAAGGAGCTAATTATGCGTAAGAGAGGCAATTCAACAGTCTACCCAATGTCTCACAATATCAAACAATATAATAACATTTCTTTATTAGGCGTCACAATTCAAGGTAATTGTAAGTTTGGCTTGCATGTCAAGGCCAAGCTCCATGAAGCCAACAAGTGTTTATTTGTCATCAGAAGCCTATGCAAAGAAGGATATACACAAGATGAAATAGACCACCTCTTTAATTCAATTGTGATCACTAAGTTATTATACGGTCTTTCAGTTTATGCTGCAAGTGTTTCCGAACTTACTGTTATACAAAGGTTTTTAAAAAGATGTTATAAGAGGCGTTATACGTCGGTCAATTACAACATATATGAACTTTTGGAGAAAAGCGACAGACGCCTTTTTTTTATAACCTCAAACGCGGTGACCATCCACTAAAAAGCTTGCTCCCAAGGTACAAAGACTGCATGTATTGTAAACCTTCGAAGGATATCCGTTGTCAGGCCCAGCATTAACACTGAACGTTTCAAAGATAGCTTTTTTAATAGATTAATTTTTAAATATAATCTAGCTGTGTAAATATCCCATATGTATTTTTAATCAATTTAATCTTTTTTATTCATCTTGCCATTGTAATTTTTTCTATCGATATATATTTTTACTGTAACATCAGATATGTAATTTTATTGGATGCTTTTTAATAAAGACGTTATTATTATTATTATTATTATTATTATTATTAATTGTCTTGTTAGCTCAATTGGTAGAGCGCTGCACCGGTATCGCAGAGGTCAAGGGTTCGAATCCCGTACAAGCCTGAACTTTTTCAGACTTTCTTTTCACAACTACAAAAGTTGCGCCTATAACTGCGGTGATTTTCTTTAATACAATTCTTGTTCTCATATATGATTATCATATATACATAACTTCATTAAACCTATTATTATTGTAACTTAAGCATGTAACAAATTTCTATATATTATTTGAGCTTAAACTTGAATCTTTCATGACTTAATTACTTTGAAAATGAAATTTGTTCCACAACAACATGAACAAAAACAATAATCCAAGTAAGTTAATTTAAAGTAGAAATTAAGTAAAATTATTTTCACGCCTCTTTCGGCCAAGTCTTATTTTCTAACAAACTACACGTGCTTTAAGTCTTGTTATTTACGTTAGCGCAAATTCTAGGATGAGTGGGCCTCCACCTCATGGATCGCCACCCCATGGACCTCCACACCATGGACCTCCACACCATGGGCCTCCACCGCATGGGCCTCCACACCATGGTCCCCCACACCATGGGCCTCCACCGCATGGGCCTCCACACCATCCACCACACCATGGTCCCCCACACCATGGACCTCCACATCATGGGCCTCCACCGCATGGGCCTCCACACCATCCACCACACCAAGGGCCTCATCCCCATGGAGATCACCACCCTCCACCACCTTAAGGACAAACCCTTCCCAGGTAAGTTGGAAAAGTTGTTTAATATATATATAATATTATTGTTATTTGTGAATGCCATTTCCTGAGGACGGTTATGCAATACTGGTAACATTCATCATTTGGAACACTTGGATTCGGGTAGCTTGTGTTAATGATATAATTCAATGTTAGTACAAGGCTTAAATTTCGTCTGTAACACAGGTTTAAAATTGCTAAAAGGTTTACATCGTAATGATAGTCTTTGGTTTGCATAGTTATCTCAACGAACATTTCAAATGTCACTCTTGTAGGTTAGGAACTATAGCAATACCCTGATTTCACGTCCATAATTTTTCATCATTTGTAAATGTTTTCAAGTACTATATCCGGTTGGAAAGTAAACGGAAAACGGGTGATGTCAGTGAAACGTTTTCGAAACAAAAGGAACTTCTGTGTAGCGGTTGGGGTCCCTGTTTCGTTTTTTCCTCCCTTGTGTTATCAGACCTTGTCTTTCGCCCTTTCTTGTTATGCTTTTGGCAAGTGTTTGCACGGCTTAGGAAAAAAAAACCCGACATTTCGCGACGCCACCATTGATACCAGTTTCAGGATAGTTTTCAGGATACGTCAAAAGTAACAACAATAAGTCTTTCTTTTTTTTTTTTGTTTGACTCGATAACGTCATACTACAGTAATTAAAACAAAAACTTTCAAACTTGTTATGTCATGTAGAAGTGTTTCATAGAGCGAACTGAAGACAAACAACTGGTTGTCATTCATGACGCCCGCGACGTAATAGTTGCTTAGACTCCCTAATTTTACAATTTTCCCAAATCGTGAACCGACTAGTTTGCCCGTATAACCTTGAGGAAGTAATAACTGTCACTTGCTAAGTTAAATTATTGTCTTTTTTTCTTTTGTTTCAGATATGAATATTTCTGGAAGTAGCAGCAGAAGCATCAGTGATTAGTGCTTTTAGTAAAAGTGGATAGAAATCGCGCGTCATATTGTTATTCACTACTTTAGTTTTTATGACAGCCTTGATGATTAAGAACTATAAGAACTATAACAAGAGTAGTGGTGCTCAATAATGACCTGAAAAATACTTTTTCTTTTTGTGAAACTTCAACAATGATTGCGTCATGGCGTTGTGCGATAGCTCTTTATTACCTACAAGTGATTCAAACTGGTGCAGAGTTTCTGGCCTTTAGCATATGAACTTGTCAATTGATATCATAACTAATGCTAATGGTTATAGTTAATATAAACTAAACAACAATGCTTATCGCCTGCTGTACCGCTATTGCATATTTCAAGGCTTGTCTTACTATTTTCAAGATGTTTGCTTTGTTACAACCGGCTGTATGCATACCCTTTAAGAATGTAACTTTGTGAAAACCTTCTTAAAAATGTATTTGATGTGGCTGCCTCCACTTTTATCAGTAATACAGTAAGGATTGCCTCTTTTACCGGATTTTTTTTAACGTCTAAAATAATTGCATTTGTTTGTATTTATTTCTAGCGAAGGGAGGGACGACTGGCGTTAGTTTCTTTCTCGGTCATGCGTTCTATTCAGCTTTTGGTCATGTGCTTGTACAGATCGTAGCTTCGCTGAACACACGTTTATTTCCCAGAACTGTTTCTTATGGTGTGTCGATATCGTTGTTTACACTATGGTGACTAGAAGGAGCAGCAGGAGAACGTAGCTGTAGTGTCTTACGTATTTAACGACCAACACACACACCATTGCTGCTCGTGCACACCTGTGTATTCAATCATCATAACAGTCAGAGCGCACGCTCGATAATACAAACATAGGGGGTGGGGAGGTAGACCTAAATACTTACATATACTTCATTCCTCCCTTCTTCGAATTACTTGTTGGGTGAAAAGAAAACCTAGCTAACAATGTACATAAATGTCTCTGAATTTCCTATAGATATCCTAACCTTCTCTTATTTATCAGCTGCCTGCGTACTGAGGAAATGCCACGAATCCGAGCAATAACTGAACTATAAGGCGTCATAGATATCTCTCCTAGTTCCTCTCTACCAATCAGATTGTGTAATATGCACGAGAGATCAGGTGGATGTTCACTAAAACCTTGTTATTTAAAGTACAATTTGAAAAGAAATAATTCAATAGTTCTGCAACCTCTTGCTGATATCTAATGACTCTACTACCTTCCTTCAGATAGCCCGTTCCAGGAGTTCAGATAATGTAGTGCGGTGCGAATCTTTTTGCGCCGTACGCACAATCTGAACGCCTGGCACCGGGCTATACTTCAGAACAATTCTGTGATTAGCGACATTCTTGCGAGAATTTATGAAAGTTTTTATAGTCTTTATACCTTTATGTTTTTGTTTGTTATGGCTGGACCGTATCAGCTCTGCTCTAATTTTTTTGCTATTGTGTATAATTAAATTCATTATGGTTCTGCTCCGACCGATAAATGTTTAAGTCTGTTTTATTAACCAATCTTGACTGGTCAAGACTGCTGCATATAGGTCATGTTTGTCGTCGCGTTTTAATGGAGCGAGATAAAGTCGATATTTATAACAACGCAAAAAGAACTAGGCCCATATCAGCGGAGGATCCAGGAAAGGGCCCCCCCCCCATACCGCGCCCTTTATGTTTAGAGCAAAATGAGGCCCGAACGGCCGGAAAATTTGTTTTGGACACCCCCCTCCCTTATCTGAAGGTCTGGATCTGCCACTGCATATCCTGCCATCTTGACCGAACAAGCTTGATCAATAAACGATTTATTACATGGCCAAAAAGAAAAGGTTGTAGGAGAACGTCCGGTCGGGAAAGACAAGTCCAATCAGAACACAGGATTTGCCTCACCTTGCCCGCTGGCAGAGTCAGCCATATACAATTAATTTGATCATTTGTCTGATCATTTCATGTGTCCGACAAGCAACCTGTTAAATTTTTAAAATATATAGAATTAGCCAGGACTAAGAGCGCAGCTCTCGATCATATTTATAGTTTGTTTAAACAAAATATAAAATCTGGTAATGCTAGCAGCGAAGGCAACGCCGGAGAACGGTGAAAGACAACAATAGGTCTCATTAGCAAAAAAGCAACTTTGCACGCGCAGCAGACTTTTTTCTACGACCACAACGTGAAACTCTTTTTCTCTGTCTTTCTCTTGCTCTATATTCCAAATTTGTGGACATGACAATTATTCTGAGCTTAATACTTTAGAAAATACGGATACAGAGACAATTTCCGCTTTTCGACTCCTTAGTTGTCTCTGCTTTACAAGGACGTGGGGCTATGCGATTTCCCGTCAAAATAACTTCGAGTTGCATTTGGGTTGCCATACCTGTTTATTGAGTCATTTTACATTGGTATACCTGCGGTACGGACGGACAGTCGGTGTACGGTCACGTAATTACCAAATTTTCTCGGATGGGTAGTTTACCACATTTTCTTACCCGTGGTGCTCCGCTAAACGCGCGAGAACTCCGCTATAAAACGAGAAATTGAACAGGACACTTTGCAATAAAATTGTCCGTTGCATAACTCAAGAGGCTAAACATACACAGTTTTCTACTCCGCATAAAAAAAAAAACTAACAACAAAACATAACTTTACACAGTGCCATTATAAAGCCAAAAAACTCACGCGGCTGCTTCTTCCGTAAGCCCCGACGATAACAATGGAAAGAGAAAACCACGACCGATACGATGTATGGAAAGACGTTTGGGTAAGGGCAACTTATTAATAATTATGCCAATGTTAACAGTCTTGAACAGTGACTAAAACTTACCTTGACGGTTTGGTTTGATTTAAGTGCTTCAGGTCCGCTGTAAATCCTTTCTCCAGGAGCCACTGTCATGGTCTACTGCATGAAATTAGCAGTGCCATAATCTGACACTTTGCCTCTCCATTGGTCACCCTGTCGCCATAGCAACACATTAGCACTGCTGATGTCACGATGAATGATAGGCTCTGGTTTCTTCTGATGAAGGTAGTTTAGAGCAAGTGCTACATCCAGAGAAATGACGGCTGTTTCTTTCTCGGAGAGTTACCGCTGCTCCGTCCGAAAGGGGAACCTTTTTCAGGCTTCAGGTATAGATCGTTTTCAGTCACGTGGTCAGCAGCTTTGCAAATTCCTTGGAATAAAAGAAAATTTTAACATGTGAAAAGGGTACAATTCCCACAGGATTTTTTTGCACACAAACATGGCCGCCGATTCATTGTTTTGTACACCAATATGGCAGCCGTGACGTCATGTGAAAACTATCTTTATGAAGGGTTAGGGAATATACTCGTTGAAGTATACGAAAGGGCAGGGAAATCTGTGATTTAGGTCTGTGAAAGGGTCCAATGGGGTTTATAAAGTCGAGATAACGTTCTGTTTTGTGATTAATTCCTATTTAAACGACAGTGCATTTACAGCAGTTAAAATGGATGCAATGTTCTAAAAAAGAAATAGAAAGTATGCCAAAGGGGTACCTTTTTCGTGAAAAATGGTATATAAAGGGCAAGGGGTCGGATCTCGAGGCGGAGCCTCCCCGCATAAAAATTTGTTGAGTACCCGCCCCCCTCCTATGAGCTAAAAGATGCCTCAAACGTCAAGTCATATCTATGCTGACCATTTATTTCATCGATATCGGTATGAATTGTCATATCCTTTGTGCTGTGAGTGGAGGATTAAAGGAGGAGACTAGCACTGCTAGACTGCTTGCAGCATGTATAGTTTTATACAATGTAAATTATGAAGGAATTATTGCTGAATGCCCCCAATAGAGATAGGTACTAGGGGTGGTCATTACCTGCGATCAGGCAATCAGAAAAAGGGAAGAACGACCGCCTGATGGCAGGTTAGGGTGATCACTGTCAAAGGTTCGTCACATCCCTGGTAGTTCTTTTACGTCCCACAGAGTCGAATTATGTGAAAGTGCTGTGAGACAGGACCTTTCACCCCTTATCTAGAGGGTCTCAATGGTGTTTGTCATCAACCGTCAGAAGATTAGGGAACTTAAGAAAGAGACGTTAAACCGGCGACGGCGACCGGACTGGCAGAGAAAGCCTGGAACTAAGGCAGCCGTCTCTTGCCGTCCCGTTACATAAGATCGAAGTGAACTCAGAAGGACGGCGCCTGAGCAGCTAGAACACCGAAGAGAAAAATATGGCTTCGCATAAAGAATTAAGAGAATTAATATTTGTTGTGCAGACAACATGTATCGGATGAAGAGTTTCTCGTTTTGTGGGAAAATCATGAGTCAAAAATCCAGATTTTCTTTGGGACAGTTACGATCCGTTCACGCTCGAAAAAATGCGGGATGAAGCTGAGTGCAAGGCAGAATTTCGGAATTTCGCGTTGAAAAACAAATGATCTCCACAGGCGAAGCCTTGCATATTCCAGGAACATTAAAATGATACCAAGGAACCGTATTCTTAGTTTGGTATTGAAATAATTCCTGGCAAATACTTGCATGCAACAACAACAACGACAACAACAACTTTATTTCAGTATTCCCACGTTAGTACATGGTTTTACCTGCTATTCTAAATAATTTTCAATGCGTTTCATTTGTACAATACTCTAAGGACAAGAGTGGACTAAAAACACACAATTAAAATATAGGAGTTCATATTTTTTGTCTGGATACTTTTTATTTGGCCCGTAGGGCAATTTTGTCCATGTAAAGCGAGTGTAGCTAAATGTCGTGGGTCGTGGGTAGTGGGTCGTGGGTGTGGTGTGGGTAAATGTCGTGGGTGAAAAATAGTCTTCCAAAAAAAATAATAAAAATTACAAAATTAAAAAGCAAAAAGTTATAAAATTCATGAAACGAAAATCTCCGAGTACAAACCAGTCCTATTCCCCTTCTCCGCGGTCAGCAAAACAAATGAGCGAATCTTCTAGCACAAACGGGCTTTAAAAAGGGATTTAGGTAAAAAATAAAAGAAACTCTGTACACTATGTAGACCTGGAGCAGGCTAGAGAAAAACTGGAAACTGAACTGCTTTTTCTCACAGCTGTCAACATTCGTGACTGAAACGTCCTGTCAGTTTAAGGAATGATGTTGCGAATCGTTACAGCAAAGATTTTGTACACAAAACAAAACAAAAAAGAATCGCGAAAATTGTATTTCCGTACGACAATAAAATTTTCATACAGTCTAGCCGCTTAAATTGAAATGTTGGGAATGAAGGTATTTCCTTCGTAAGGTAAGAGACCTAAAACTTCTTTAACGGACCGACCATTAAAAAAGTTATGGGAAAGGGGAATTTTCGAACCGCAGGAATTTTTTTTTTTTTCGTTATCAAATTCCTTGTATGAATTTGTTTTAGGCCATAGCATGAATATTTTTTTAGTATTAATTGGCGCGCCTGAATTTTTTTCGTTTAATTTTCCCTTGCGCGAATATTTTTTTTGTACTTCGCCCGCCCCCACCATAATTTTTCTAATGGTCCGTCCCTAAGAAAGACTTCTATCCAGAAATTTGAATTACCTCAAAATTGTCCTTTTCCTCCCCCCCTTTCTCACGGTGATTGCATTCCATCGTGCTAAAAAAATCTCCGCTGATCACTGGAATTGTAGATCGAATAAAGATTAATAGTGAGCACCATACTTTCTGCCAGTTGCAGCTATAATCAGTTACGTCTGTTTCGCTTACTTCGCGGCGATAGCTGAGGTATGGATAATCTTTATCGGCAACATGTCTTTTATACAGTTATGTTGTGAAAGGGGAGCCAAGTCCCACGTAGCTAAGGAAATATCAGGAAGAGGCCGAAGAAGAGGCCGTGACGAAAAAGGCAATCAAGGAGTTGGATATTTTCATTTCATAAATATTTTACAACTTGTTTCTATTTATTTTTTTTTCAATTATTTTACTTTATCATTTTTTTTCTATACCCACGACATTTACCCACACCCACACCCACGACCCACGACCTCTACCCATTACCCACGACCCACGACATTTAGCTTCATTCATGTAAAGCTCACTTACGGTTGGCTGTTTGCCAAGTTGGATCTTGACCCTGTGACATGAAACATAGAAACATGAAAGATGTAGTAAGTTTAGATGACACAGCTTGGAAATCGAGCTTGAAATGTGACTCAAAGAAAACAAGGACAATTTACGAACGATAATCTGCAAAATTTTGGTTGCTAAACACAACAAACCTGATTGAATGAAAGTTAAATACTCACGTCAGTCGCCACAACGCCAAACAGACCAGTTTCACGTCGCCGACGGGACCACGACAGCAAGGTGGTGAGCAAGAGCATGCGCAATATCCAACAAATGATGACGTCACGCCCGGTTGAAGTTGCCGTCACCCCGAAAACGTCTCTATTTGAAGTTCCCTATTCAGCAACCATCAACCGTCAAAAAGATTTTTTTTTTCCTTCAACCGTCAAACTGTATAAAGATTAACGGTAAAAAAGTTTCAAGGTATTTCAAATTTCGCTATTAGTTCAGCTGATCTTCACGGGATTCTAGCTCCTAAAGAATTTATATATAAACTGGAAAAACACAACAGCTCATATTAACCTATACAGAAGTTTATATTTACTTTTAATTAGCTTTTGGACTCTATAACGCCAATTCTCAATGATCGTCAACCGTCAAACGTTTTTGGTTTTGGGGAAGGGATGTCGCAGTGGTGAGATTGATTTTCTCCCACCAATGTGGCCCGGCTTCAAATACCGGCGTCGACGCCATATGTGGGTTGAGTTTGTTGTTGGTTCTCTCCTTTGCTTCAAGAGGTTTTTCTCTGAGTACTCCGGTTTTCCCCTCTCCTCAAAAACCAACGTTTCTAAATTCCGATTTGACCAGGACTCAGGTAGACGATGAACCACTTTGTGGATGTGCTATCTGCAAATTTTTTATTATTTGACCGTCACCCATCAAAACTGGTAAAAATTAACGGTCAATCGTCAAAGCTACCACCCCAGAAGACACTCTGTTCCATGAGGTACTCAAGGGACGTTTTGATAGAGGTGTGCCGCCGAGGCGCGCCTTCAAACCTTGACCACGGTTAAAGACAAAAATCGTTCATTTTTCAACCCTGTTTAATAAAAGAGAAAAGAGACCCTATTTTATGACCCTAATTTGTTCTTTTTTTGCATCCAGAATCGAAAAAACATTATGGAATTAGATGTTTTGGAATAAAAATTGTTGGTAGCACATATGTAGATTACTCATCGCGAACCGTCGCATTAATTATTTGGAAGGGCTTCCGATCCGAAATGACTCTCTCCTCAAGAACGCTTATTTATAAATAGTGAAATTGTATACCCTGTTTAACACTCAAAAACCCTGTTCAGCGGTACAAACTGACCCACTTAGGCCAAATAAGGCCAGTAGCTAGCTCCCCACGCGCGTCGAGTATCTATCTGCGTGTAACGAATTCGGTATCTCAGTGAAGTTTCCATATTGTTGACGAATCCGGAAAAATCGACTCTATCGTAAATGTAGCCTTTAAATAATGTTTCAAGTGTCCCTGTTGTTAACAAAATGAACAGTTACAATTGATGTCAATGTAATGCAATATATAGGAGGATAAAGGAGTGTTCCAGAAACTTTACGCGCGCAGGAAAACATTCTATTTTGTCTTTATGACGACGGGTTTTTTATCGTTCCACGTCGCTAAACAAGTTTAGTCGTGTTGCGCTTTGGAAAGAGAAAAGTTATTCTTGACAAAATGAAAACGTTTTTAATCTACATAATTTTCCTCCTAACAATATGAGGAACTTCGACTGCTTCGGGAAATGTCAAAGAGGAAGGTGAAACTTGTGTTATTTTCACATCTGTTCTCTTCGCGTTATTTTCCTCGATGGCGTAAGCTTGTAGCAAAAGTACAGGGCACGCGCGAAATTCG